ATATAAAAATTTTGATTCACAAGTTCATATTTTGTTGAAACACCCCGTATCTACTAACCATTTATTTTAAATGTAAATAAAATTTATAACAAGATCAATACTTTTTAAAATTTATTATTCTCACCAACATATAATCAATTTAAGTCACACCAACCGATTGTTGAGTAATATAAAAGACTATCTTAGTACACTACAATTTATTTCAATTTTTTTATTGAATTAAAGTTTGATGAATTAAAGTTAGATGAAACAATTACTTAAGTGGAGAACAAATAACAATGTAATAATTTATTATGATATTTTATAATTTTTGTTTATTTGGTAAGATTGAATAAACAGATGAGTCTATTTTAATAGCTTTACAACTTATTAGATTCTTATGTTTATGAGAAAGTATACAACACCAAAATTTCATATCGCATATTCAAATAAAAATTCAATTTCATCTCATAATTCTATATTATGATATCATATCATGATTCCATATCAAGATACCATCTTGCACGACCAAACAGGTGAGTTACCTTACCCTAAATCTTTTTTCTAGTTTTAACAGTTCAAATTCTAGTAATTATTTAATGTGATTTAGTTGTATCAATCAATGAACTAGCACTCACTCTTAAGTGGATCAGGCCATCTACTATTATGTTTACATAATTTTTCTTAACAAGGGATACATTACCAGTGAAGTAGAAAGTATGAAAAAAATAAAAAACAGGTACCACAAAGGAAAGTAAGGAGTAATATGTGCATGACATGCACTCAATGTTCTACTCATAGTTTTGAGCCTATGTTATTGACTACTTAATTACTCCTTTATTGTTATACTTAATTTATTTCACATGACAAATATAAAATTCAGATTCAAGAACGTTTAAGAAATAGATTTATTTGGCACATGGGCTGGTCTTGTCCATATATCTCAAGCCCCCACAAATCAACAAACTTATTTAGGTCAGGATAAAAAACATTGTTCTTAAATGGGCCTAAAAAATAATAGTCCAATTTTACGAAATCACGAGTTAAGTCAGGCCTGCCCAATGAATCTAGCCCATATAAATGGCTCTACTAAGACATATGATTTTATAGCTAAGAGGGTCTTGGTGAGCCCAAAGGTAATTAAAACCCTAGATAAAATGAATTAAGAGGAGTTGTACTATAAAATAAAATGACAAGAAGTAGGAGGAAGTAGTCAACAGTTGAGCTATTTCTACAACACCACTCAATCAATTTTTGACACTTCTTCTTCATCAACTTGTAAGGTTAGATTTCTGACAGATTATTTATTTTGAATTTGAATTTGAATTTGTTCTATTTGGGGATCTAGGGTTTTTCTGCCATTGTTTCTGATCATGCTAATTCTTTTTATTTCTTTCCATTTCCAAGGATTTGTTGATTGATATTAGTTGAAAAAAGGTATTTAAAAATTACCCTAGCAAACCACATGACTACTTTACTTGTCTTCTCCTAATTATAGATGAGTCCAATTTACTGTGTGTTCTATTAAAACATGTTTCTATATATGTTCTCTTTAAATATGTTTGTAACATGACTCACTTTGTAACCAGTATGGATGTTGTTCGTCCTATACCGGAAGATGCACTGGTTGATATTCTATTGAGATTGCCCGTGAAATCACTCTTGCGTTTCAAATGTGTGCGCAAGAACTGGTGTGCTCTCATCAAAAGTCCGAGTTTCATAAAAGAACATTTTCAATATCGCAACAACAATTGTGCCCGTCTCTTTGTTTGCAACATGAAAATGGCCCCTGAATTACAGCCCATCGTAAAGTCTGTTGTATTCTCCTTGCTCCCTGAAGAAATTGTTCCAGGTGTGACCCCTGAACAAAAAACTCTCCTTCAACTTCCGAGGGTCACTGATTTCATGTGTGTTGCCGGTCCAGTTAATGGCTTATTCTTAGTGCAGAAGTTGCTTTATGGAGCAGATGTCTGCTTAGGTTTGTGGAATCCTGCTACCAAAGAGTTCAGGTCTCTGCCCCCTGCGCATTTTGAGATTGAGGGTTTTTGGTCGCACAATAATGATCATCAGTATGGATTTGGATTTGACCTGGTTACTCTAGATTACAAGGTTGTATGGATTCGAGTATTCTGGGATGATCTTGGACTAAGTGTCTATACCTGTGTCTATTCCTCATGCAACAATTCATGGAAACGCCTTACTCTCGAATTCCCTCCAATTTCTAACTTATCTGCACCCCTTGATGCCACTTATCTCAACGGAGTTTATTATTGGCTTTCGAAGGGCCTAAATGGCATATACACGATTCTCTCTCTTGACATGATCAGTGAACAATTTAGGGAGATGCAAGTCCCAGATATTACAACTGCACATTGGGGGGCGCTTACATTGCATGGCGGCTCACTTGCAATGTTAACAAGTGACTCTGACCAACCTATGACATCCATATATGATGTGTGGGTAATGAAACAAGAGGGAAATTGGTCCAAAGTTCTTACTGTTCAACCTCATATAGATTCTTATTGGCCTATCAACATCTGGGATAACAATAAGATGGTTTTCGAGATCATGGAAACTTCACAGCTAGTGCTATATGACCCTAAAACAAGACATGTTACAGATCTTGGATTTCAGCTGGACCCTAACATTGCTGGCTGTTGGGTTTTCAATTACAAGGAGAGCCTAGTTCCAATAAAGAGAGGAAATGAGACTCGGGGCGAGGATAATGCAGTCAAGCAAATTGAACACTACTTCAATACTATACCAGCGGATGAGGCCTCATCTTAGAGATTAGACGTACAAAATATATCTAGTGATAAAAATGGTTAAACAGACAGAGTATTATGATTTTCTTGGTGTAAGTCATTTAGCAGGGCATATTATCTCAAGGTTTTTCTACTTGTTTCTTATATTATTATTTTTTTAACCTTTTATGTTGATTGTAGATTTTCTGAGTGTTGGGGTTGATTTAATTTACGTGGCATTAATATGAATTTTGAGATTGAAATTTCTATAATTTGACAGTAAATTTAGATACAAAAGCTTTAAGTTTTTTTCAATAATAAATTTTTGTTTTTTTAAATTGTGTGAAAAGCATTGTAAATCACAAAAATAACAATCTGAAAGATAAAATCCCAATATCATTTTAATTGAGATGGGGGGGGGGGGGGAGTATTGTTTAAGTTTCATCTGTTCATGATTTTTCCATCTATATATGTACGTGCATTTTATAAAGAGTATGTTTGTAAATTGTTGTATGGAAATGAAAGTTGGCCAGTCAAGAACTCTGATCATGTCGAGAAGATGCATGTTGCAGAGATGTGGATAGTGAGGTGGATGCGCGTTCATACTCGGAACAATAAAAAAATATAAATGATGATATAAGTCATAAGGTAAGAGCGGCATCCGTGATAGATACGATGAGGAAAAAGTATATAAATATGTCAATTCAATCGAGAAAGCTTGATTTTTTTACCAATGTTGGAACCTAGGGAAATAATGCACCGAAGGGATTGATTCATAAATAGAACCAACCATTGGATATAATTAGTCCTTTAAAACTTCCTATTTCCTAAACGAGAAACTTTTGGTACTAATAAGGAGAAGTGAAGTTAATAATGAATATTTCCCTTATCCTATGTCTTGTTTCTTGTTTAATAGTTCAAAACTGTAATAAGATTCTAGTTAGTATTTAATGTGAATAGGCATGTTGGGAAGCATCAATCCCGAATGGGCCCTACGATGCGCAATTCGAATTCAATCGATGTTTCAATAAGGGCTTCAAACATCGGGCGGAAAAAAGATGTTGATGCGAAAACTCTCCTAGAATAACCTAATCGAAACACCCTGGAGTGGCAAACAAGTATAGTAATAATGAAGGAAGGAGATATCATCCTCGTTTGTAAAGTTAGATTTCAATTTCATTCTATAATATATTTTTTTTTTTGAATTTGGTAATGTAGGGTTTTGCTTCTAAATTATATCCTGCCCGATTTTGATCATTCTTTTGGTTCTTTCAAATTCTAACTTTTAGAAATACTTGCAAAAAGTGCCAACTTAAACTTGCTAAATTTTCAAGTGGTGCTGATTGATCTTAACCGAAAGAGTTTACATATTAATTAGTTATACCGAGTTTCGTTATCCACTACAACAAAAATGATCATTAGCGGCAATTAATTCTTAATTGCCGCTAAATATGTATTTTTAGCGGCAATTGTCACTCTTTGTATATGTCCCTAAAGTCTTTAGAGACATTGATTCCAATGACACTTACTAATGGCGGTAAAGACTTTAGCACTCTTTATGAATGTCAATATTTAATGCCGCTAAAATTTATTTTTGTTGTAGTGATTCCATCTTTTGCCTTGTATAAAATAATTCATATGTTTTGTCCTCAACTTATACATTTAAACCGGTAGTCAAATACCATACTTGATGTGCGGAATTTAACACGTAAATAACTCACCAACTAACCGGAAAGTCGTTTACTGCTTTATGGCTAATGAAAAGTCTAGACAAGCAAATGGCCAGTTCCTTACTAGAATATCTTGTATGAATTTCCATTTGTTTGCTTTTCTAGGTTAGTTAACACTAACAGAGGGAGTGTCATCCCTAAAACTGTCCAGTGGCGAATTCAAGATTTTCGTTCAGGAGTTCGAAAAATAAAAAGCCTAAACGTGTGAATAAGCCATCAAAACACAATTCCAAGGAAACAGTAGTGTATAGTTTATATGTATAAAAAGTTAGTTCTGTTTCAAGAGACCTTTTTGTTGGGTTTTAAAAGGCGTGAATGGAAAATGAAGAGTTGCGACTATTATGAAGAGTTGTGACTTTTATGAAAGGTTGCGACGTTTATGAAAAGTTGTGAATTTTATAAAAAGTTGCGACTTTTATGAAAAGTTCTGACTTTTATGGAAAGTTGTGACTTTTATTAAAGGTGACGACCTTTTTGAAAGATTGTGAATTTATCAAAGGTTTGTGACCTTTTCGGTAAGGCACAATAAGAACCTTTTTGCACTACTATGGATGGTGGTCGTCCTATACCAGAAGATGTCGTAGTTGATATTCTATTGAGATTGCCCGTGGAATCACTCTTGCGTTTCAAATGTGTACACAAGAGCTGGCGTGCTCTCATCAAAAGTCTGAGTTTCATAAAATAACATTTTTAACATTGCAGCAACAATTGTGCCGGTCTCCTTGTTTGCAACATGAAATTAGTTACTGAATTACACCCCATCGTAAGGTATGTTGTATTCTCCTTGCTCCCTGAAGAAATTGCTCCTGGTGTGACCCCTGAACAAAAAACTCTCCTTCAGCTTCCGAGGGTGGCTGATTTCTCGTGTGTTGCTGGTCCAGTTGACGATTTATTCTTAGTGCAGAAGTTGTTTTATGGAGAAGATGTCTGCTTGGGTCTGTGGAATCCTGCCACCAGAGAGTTCAGGTCTCTTTCTCCTGCGCCTTTTGAGATCGAGTCCTTTTTCTCGCACCATAATCAGCAGTACGGATTGGGATTTGACCTGTTGACTCTAGATTACAAGGTTGTATGGCTTCGAGGGCTCTGGGATGATCTTGGACTAGGTGATTATAATCGCGTCTATGTCTGTGTCTATTCCTTATGCAACAATTCATGGAAACACCTTACTCTTGAATTCCCTCCCGGTTTTTTCTTATATGCACCTCTTGATGCTTACTTATCTCAACGGGGTTTATTATTGGCTTTCTAGGGGCCTTGATGATATCTACATGATTCGCTATTTTTACATGGGCAGCGACCAGTTTGGGGAGATGCAAGTCCCTGCTATTCCAAGTGAACATTGGGGGACGCTTACATTGCATGGCGGCTTACTTGCTATGTTAACTGGTGACCCCCGCAAACCAATGACATCCATATACAATGTGTGGGTTATGAAAGAAGAGAAAAATTTGGTCTAAAGTTCTTACTATTCAACCTCATATACATGTTCATTGGCCTCTCAACATCTGGGATAACAATAAGATGGTTTTCAAGATCACAGGAATTTCACAGCTGGTGCTATAAGACCCTAAAACAAGACGAGTTACAGATCTTGGATTTCAGCTGGACCCTAACATTGCTGACTGTTGTTTTTTCAATTACAAGGAGAGCCTAGTTCCAATAAAGAGAGGAAACAAGACTCAAGGCGATGACAATGCGGTCAAGAAAATTGAAAACTACTTCGATATGATACCAATGGATGAGGCCTCATCTTAGAGATTAGACGTACAAAATATTTATAGTGATAATAATGGTTAAAGAGACAGTATTATGATATTTTTGGTGTAAGAAGTCCTTTAGCAGGCATATTATCTCAAGTTTTTTCTACTTCTTTCTTAATTTTTTTTACTTTATATGCTTGATTGTAGATTTTCTGAGTGTTGGGGTTGATTAAATTTACGTGGCATTAATTAATCGAATTTTGAGATTTGAAACTTCTATAATTTGACAGTAAATTCGGATACAAAAGCTTTAAGTTTTTTTTATGTAAAATTTATGATTTTGAAAATTATGTGAAAAGCATTGTAATTCACATTAGTTAAAAATTTAAATTATAAAATCCCAACTATCACATTAATTGAGACGGGGGAATATTGTTTAAGTTTCATCTGTTGATGATTTTCTCATCAATATATGTACGTGTATTTTATATAGAGTGTACGTAAATTGTTATGTGGAAATGAAAGTTGGTCAGTTAAGAACTCACATGTCTAGAAGATGCCTGTTGCAAAGATGTGGATGGTGGGGTGGATGCGCATTCATACTCGAAACGATAAAAATTATAAATGATGATATAAGTGATAAGGTACTCTTTTAGCACGTTTTGTTTTTATATTACAAAAAAAACCATAGATTGATCCTAAAACTAAATGAAGACAAGCTACAAAAATAAAATGTCCTGGGATTCAAACCCTAGCTTGTTCACAATGGGATAAACTCAATCGTATTATCATGTTAATTATCATCATAACTCTAGATAGGAAATCTCACACACACATATATACTAGTCCTCAACATGTGCTTCACACGTGAGTTGAGTGAAAACATTTTATACGGTACAAATTAACAAAAATCACACGACAATAAGTATCACAAACTATTCAACAAAAAAATATACAAGTTGAAATATATGAACAATCAACATATTCAATAACTTTTTTTATTGTGAGTGAAATGATTATATATTCCATGAACCTGCAAATTGGACAATAAAACTTGGTTTGATAATTAAAGTGATAATTAAATGTTTTTGTTTTTACGTCCAAACATGTGTTATATTACTATGTAACATCCTCAAAATGAATAATACAAAAATTGATTAAATGACTTTGATTTGACTGTAGAAAAATATTTATGCATATGACTCTATAGTTATCCTCTATTATTTTTTCCAATGATCGATGAGAATCCTGCATATTTTTTATGTTTATGAATTTAACATAAATTCATCACTAATACTAATTATTGATCGAAGTAAAAGTCAATATCTTCTTAAGATGTGAATGCCTTTTTAAGTAAATCCTTTTTTTTGACATTCACCAACAAATAAAATAATACTTTGGATTTGTGTCAAATTTCAAGCAAATTAAAGAACACTAATCATAGAACTAATTTTCAATTGGAATAGGATTCACAAATTTGAAGATTTTATAGAGTGTTTTCTCCGTTGTATAATAAAATATGTAACTCCTAAAACTAAATAATTTTTATATTACATAGAATAGTTGAAAAGGTAAGAATAATATTGCACAAAGCCTTATATATTGTATCAACTTGATGAACTTTGCGAAATTAATGCTCCTAAAATTAAGTTACACTAGTTACTTATAGCCTAATAAATCATTATCACACAATAACGAAATCAGTATCAAAATTATTTTTCTAAAATGTGATTACAAAGCCACGTCAATATACTGGTATGAAAAATTTCTATACTCAGAATATAGGCATAAAAAAAAAAGCAAAAAGAAGGCAATATCACAACATATAATATTTTTGTTGTGACAAATGTCAACTACTATACTTCACTATGTAATTCAAAGACTTGCTTTACGTATCTACATTTATATAGGAATACATGAAAGAACACAATAAATTACTATAAATTTACGGATTTAATTTTGGGTGGTTGTGAACACAGAAGGAATGAAAATTATGAAGATTATTAAAAATATAGGTTATAGAACTGAAGATGTGTGGATTAACAGTTCAAATTCTAGTAATTATTTAGTGTGAATTAGTTGTATTAATCAATGAATTAGCATTCACTCTTAAGTGGATCAGGCCATCTACTATTATGTTTACATAATTTTCCTTAACAAGGGATAATTTACCAGTGAAGTTAGAAAGTATGAAAAAAATAAAAAACAGGTACGAATGCAAGAGACACGTAAAAAATTATATACATATGGAGACAAGTCAAACTAGAACGCCATTAGCTCGCCCTTCATCTCAGAAGATCTCCGCATTAGATACGCTCGAATCAGCAATGTCGGTTGGCGCTCAGATCTATTTCTTTAGTAGTCTCCTCTTATTGACTCTATTTGGCTGATATTATCCGAGGACATTGGAACTTTGGGTGTGTTTGGTACCAAGGAAATATTTTTTGAAAAATATTTCAAGGAAAATATGTGAGATTCTTATGCATATTTTGTGTTTGGTATTAAACAAAAAAAAATATTATTCTAAAAGCATTTATGTATAATTTAGACAAATACTATGCGAGATAGAGGTGGGATAGATGTGTGCCATAGTGGGTATGGAAGCTACGGGAGTGAGGTGAAGAAGTGGTGTCTTAGAGAGTGGGAGGACATAATCAATTGAAATGTCACTTATGAAACTTGTTTTTTCTACTTGGATAATGCATAAGTACCCCCTCAACCTATGTCCGAAATTCCAGAGAGACACTTATACTATACTAAGGTCCTATTACCCCCTTGAACTTATTATATAAATAATTTTCTACTCCTTTTCGGTATACGTGATACTATCTTGTAGGCCAAACGTGTGTTGACATTTTTTTCAAACTACTGTCATGTAGACCGAAAAGGGATAGAAAATTATTTATAAAATAAGTTGAGGGGGTAATAGGACCTTAGTATAGTATAAGTGTGCCTCTAAGATTTCAAACTTAAGTTGAGGGGTACTTATGTATTTTCCCTTTCTACTTCCTTTAAAAAGTCATTTTCTTCATTTTGAAGTGTCACGTATGAAATTTGTTTTTCCTAAAGAAAATCATTTCCAAAAATTTTGATTAGAAACTATTTTCTATGGAACACACCCTTTATCTGATGTTAAGTTGGATATTGATACACGAAGACCTAGTATGTATTATATTTTTGGCGAAATGGTTTAGTAGACTCTTATACTTGTATCAGTTTGTATTCTGAACCCTTTTACTAATCCTTTTGTCATCTGGACTAAATAAAATATAATATATTAAACTCGTCTGACCATCGACCACGCTTATGTGTCATTAAAATAGCTGAGTTAACGAGAGAATGTGACTACACACATTTAAGGCGATTGAAAATCATATTTAAAGCTTTAAATTTTAAAATATTAAAATTATATAATTAAAAAATTCTAATAAAAGAAAAGAATGTATCTTCTTCACCACACCATTTTTTCATCAAGCCCCATCCCATCGCTGCCCAACCTCTTTTTTTTTCTCCACATCATAGTTATCATCTTTAGCCCGATTTTGGTATTGACACCTTGGTGACAAGGTTTCATGACAATTATCAATGGAGAGAGAGAGAGAGTCATGTTGCTTTCATGGAGGTAGTCGGCAATTCACAATGGTGTGAGGCGGAGAGAGACGACTCTAGTCCTTTTTTTGCTATATTGGGAGCGATATTGGTCCTTTTTGCTGCCAGAATGTAAGGCGGCGAGCAATGAGGGAGTTTATAGGTATGCCGGAGAATATGGAGAGGGGAGTTCGCAGGTTCCCACCTTTTGGCTTATCTACCATCCAAATTTCTCCCACGCGTCTCAATTGCGTGAAGTCACGGAGTGTGTCACGTAAGACAAAAGGTGCACAAAATTAAAAAAAAATAAGTTTTTTTTGGGGGTGGGGGGAGGGGGTCATAGGAACTTAGTTTAATTAATGTGTCTTTGAAATTTCGGTCATAGTCTAAGGGGGAACTTGTGCATTTTTCCTATATTTTTCAAAAAGATAGTCTTTCCGGTTGTATCCAAGTTTACAGTTCACAAAATTTAGTTGAAAGAAGTCAGAAAGAGTTATTACTTATTTATCAAAAATTAAAAAAATTATCAAAAGCATGAGTTATCACTACAACCAAAATGATCTTTAATGATAATTAATAGTTTAATTATCATTAAATATGTATTTTAAGAGGCAATTGATACTCTGTATAAATGTCCCTAAAGTCTATAACAACATTGAATTCAATGACAATTAATTAATATCGGTAAAGATTGTAACACTCTTTGTGAATGTACATAATTATTGCCAATAAAAAATATTTTATAATGTATTTTGGACATTTATCGATTTCAAGAAAACTTGATCTTTTATTATGCTGAAATAGAAGAGAAGAAGAAGTATGAAAAAATAATTAACTTACAATAAAAGACGTGGACTAATTGTCTCGATACAAATATTCTATTAATAGTGCAATGACATACAAAATGTTTGTACTACTAACTGTGGCAAGCAAGAGAGCAATCATTTATTTTCTTTTAACA